TTTGCTACCAATTTATTAGCAAGATATAACTCGTCACCTACGAAATAAAATCAAGCATCTGTTATCTCCAAGGAACAACCAATCTGATATTATTTTACTCAAATGATAAAAAAAATGAAATGATTGGTTTTGCAGATGCAGGATATTTATCATACCCACATAAGAGAATATCTCAAACTGACTACGTTTTCACAATTGGTGGAACTGCATTTTCATGGCGTTCTCATAACAAACACTAGTTGCTACATCTTCAAACCATGCTGAAATCATTGCACTTCATGAAGCAACTAGGGAAAGCATCTGGCTCAGAAGCATGACTCAACGCATTCAACAAGCCAGTGGATTATCAAATAATAAAGATCTGACGGTGATATTTGAGGACAATGCAGCATGTGTCGCTCAAACCAAAGAAGAATACATTAAGAGTGACAGAACTAAACATATCCCACCAAAGTTCTTCTCATACACACAAGAGCTTGAAATGAACAAACAGATCAAGATTCAATATATCCGATCAAGTGATAACGCAGCAGATTTATTTACAATGGCGCTCCCAACTACAACATTCCGAAAGCACGTCCATAACATTGGAATGAGACATCTTCGAGATTTGAACAGATGATAACTCGAGTGGGAGCATGTTCGGTTTTACTCTTTTTTCTTTATCACAGTTTTTCCCACATGATTTTTTCGGTTAAGGTTTTTAACGAGGAAGCATAAGCTCACATTTAATAGTGGTAATTCCAAGGGAGAGTGTGATGAACAAGCGAAATGTACCACTATTCATAAATAGTGAGTCTCCCATATGTGAATAGTAAGGGGTATGGGATACGAATAATTTGTATGCATAGTGTCGGTAGAATCTGCATATAAAAGTCACTCCAAATGAAGTGAAAGGATATAGATTCAGAAGAAAGAAAAAATATTGAGTACAATTTATATCTAGTTTCTATATTGAGTTCTTTATCTTTTCCTTTTTTATGCCATAATATCTTTATTACATTATATATAATTACAATTTTTGCATTAATATTATACTCGAGTATATAAATTTATTATTCCATACATAAATTGGGATTAAAAATATGTCAAAGTAAAAGTTTTTTAGGTAGTTCATTTGTTAATTAAAAGTATAGGATAAGACGAGTATTACTGTATTACTAATTCGCCATTAGAAATGTATTAAAATAAGAGTTTTTTAGACTGTTCATATTTTTACAAAACCATTCGTCCTTTTATAGATAGTATAGATATAGATATTCAAGTGAATAAAATAGCATATAATTTTCGTGTGCTCGTGGCTCATACCATTACCATCTCATGTTGTTTTGTGGGCTCGTGGCTCATGCTCTGTCACAGCTTAAGCCCTTTCCAAGACGCTAAATGTCCAATTTTGTTTCCTCGTGGCCCATGCATTTGTCTTCTACACTTTTCTTATTCATAATCCATATATTTGTTGTGGACCGCCACCCAGAAAGCATTCAGGTCCAATAATGATAGCAAAAAAGAAACATTAATTTATTTCAACATGCTCGCATCTGTCGTCACTTCCGTAGCTTTACCCTGTTACAGCATCTAACCGGATAGTAATACTAACAACACGAGAAGAAAATTCAAACAAGTGAGTTAAGTCGAGTCACGTGAAAACGAATTTGCAACGTGTAAACGAGCTGAGTCGAACTCGATATCTGATTCACAAACTCGGGCTTGAGCCTTATTGAGCTGAGAAAAGGGGGTGAATTATATTAGAATTTCAAAATATTACATAAAAGCCACTAGTTATCAAGATTTAACAAGTCGAGCAAAACTCGACTCATTGCCTTAACGAGCCTTAAACAAGCTCGTGCAGAGTCAACCTCACAAGCGGCTTGTGCCGTTTAGCAGGTCTATCAGTGAGCAACTAACTTTGAGGTACTTAAATTTAATATTTCATACAATTGTTGTTGATACAACACGAGGATCCACATAGGGAACATAACTTCCTTTTGACACAACAAAACAAGAATGGACAAATCAAATCCAAGAAACCCCCCAACACTAGCAATCTTAATTTGCTATAAATAGCAATGAGTCTCCAAAGAAAGACCATCCCACCACCAATTTGAAAATAGAGAAGGAAGGATTGACACATACATACACACACAAGCCATGGGCGCCCTAACCACCACCACAGCCCCACTCCATGTGGGTCGGGTCAAGAAGTTGGACATGATAATAAACCGGATCCACACCTTTGTTCACGGCCTCGCGCTCGTTGCCCTCCTCCGCTACCGCCTCACCACCCTCTCCCACATGCCCACCCCACTCCTCCCACACATCCTCATCTTCCTCTCCGAACTAATCCTCTCCTTCCTTTGGCTCCTCCATCGCCCTTCCAAGTGGCGGCCCGTCACGCGGTCCACCCACCCGGAGCGCCTACCACCGGATGAGGAGCTGCCATCGGTGGACGTGTTTGTGTGCACGGCCGACCCCTCTAAGGAACCACCACTCGGAGTGATGAACACCGTCATATCTGCCATGGCCCTCGACTACCCTCCCAACAAGCTGGCAGTGTACCTTTCCGACGACGGCGGGGCTCCTTTCACTCTCTTCGCCATCAGGGAGGCATGGAAGTTCGCCAAGCTGTGGGTCCCATTCTGCAGGAGCCACGCCATCGGGACCAGGTGCCCTGAGGCATATTTCTCTGCCTCGGCCACTGGCGACACCAGGTTTCTGGCTCAGAGGAAGGAGATTGAGGTTAGTCATCATTTTTTTACGAATTACATCATTTTTACAAATTAATTAAGTTTGATTTGCTTTACCATTTGTGCAGAAAAGGTACGAGGAATTCAAGAAAAGCCTGGAGACAAATATGGAAATCATTGGCACTTCGGTCAGCAGAGATCACTCGGCCATAATCGAGGTACATTATTCCGCGTTGTTTTGCATTGTTTGTTTCTTTTATGGTAATTATTCGAGTGAAGAAGCTCGACTGCATGTCCGTACAAGAACCTGTTGACGTTGTGTCATGTTATGTCGACAGGTGATAAATGATGCGAATGGAAATGGAAATAACGAGTCGAACCAAAAGGGAATGCCATTTCTTGTCTATGTAGCTCGCGAAAAAAGGCCCTCTCATCCACACCAATTCAAAGCTGGAGCAATTAACGCGCTTGTACTTACATAAAATCTCGACCACCACCTTTTTAGTCACATCGTTTATTTTCCTTTTTTTCTTCTATATATGTTTTTTGAATAAATGTTGCAAATAATTCTTTTTGTAGCTTCGTGTATCAGCCATGATCAGCAATGCCCCATACTTTATAGTGCTCGACTGTGACCATTATTGCAATGATCCAACCTCGGCCCGTCAAGCAATGTGCTATTATTTTGATCCCGAAATATCACCAAAGCTAGCATGGGTTCAGTTTCCTCAGCACTTCCATAATATGAGTCAGTATGATTTGTATGACGGCAATCTGCACTACTATTGGGTATGTATCTTTGAACCTTTTTGCATCAACTTACTCTTTTGGGGGGGAAAAAATTGATCAAGAAAACTTTTTAGGATCGAAAAAAATGTTTCGTACTAACAACTTTTTGTTCATTGCAGAGGGAGTGGGAAGGGCTGGATGGTCTAAGAGGGCCAACAATTACTGGCTGCAATTTTTACATGAAAAGGGAAGTATACTATGGAACTGACAAAATCCCAAAGGGTATATAAATACACTGTACTTAAAAAGTCGCGAATCGGGTTCGGATAAAAATGAAATTTATGGAGTATATTATTTATTTCCTCTTTACCTCAAAACATTTCCAGATGCTGATCTAAACCAGCTCAAGAAGTTTTTCGGTTCGAGCAACGAGTTGATAAAATCAACTTACAAAGGTTACAGACCGAACGTGTCGAGGGATGATGGGAAGATTTCGGATGCGCTGCAGAAGGAGATCCAATGGCTCGCTTCTTCTACTTACGACAATGGCTCCGAATGGGGATTAGAGGCAAGTTGATTTTATACTACATTTGTTGAAGTTCAAAATAACTAAGATTGTGCATCATGTGCAGGCGGGAGCAAGGTATAACACTGTAGTGGAAGACTCGATGACGAGCCTTATATTACACTGTAAGGGCTGGATTTCAGTGTGGGTTGACCCAGCCAGGCCTTGCTTCCAGGGCACATGCCCCACAAACCTGAATGATATGCTGGTCCAACAAACAAGGTGGGCTTTCGGGCTGCTACGAATGACCTTGTCAAAGTTTTCGCCTCTGATATACGGCCCACCTCGGATGTCCATTTTCCAAAGCATGTGCTATGCAGCCCTCACCATGGACCCTCTCTATGTGTTCCCTTTTTTCGGTCTCGGCCTCATTCCTCAAATCTGCCTCTTACATGGCATCTCCCTCTATCCCCAGGTGACTTCTAAGAAAGGAAATAAGATATATATGGGTATAATTTCAAAAATGGTACACTACGCTGGTCATTTTTCGGAAAAGTCCATCATATAGAGCGTCATTAAGAATGGTCCACTAAGTTGTTGTTTTAATCATAATTCATACAAAAACCAACATTGTGTACTAAAAGTGATCGTTTTTAGTATGTGATTATTTGTTGAATATTAGCTTAGAAGAAAAAAAAAATCCCTTGTGATGCAGGTCTCGGACCCCTTTTTCCTGGTTTTTGCTTTCCTTTTCCTATCGTCCCAAGTGAAGCACGTGCAAGAAGTGGTCTCGTACAGGGACCCGCTTCGTACTTCCCTCTACGACCTAAGGGTGTGGATGATGAAGTCCGGTTCATGCTACCTCTATGCAACCCTAAACGCGTTCCTCAACCTGTTTGGATTAAACGAGGCCGATTTTTCACTGACGAGTAAAGTCCCAGACGACGAGGAGACCAAGCGCCACAAGGACGGTGTGTATGACTTCCAGACTTCACCTCAACTTCTTGTCCCGATGTGCACCGTCTACATATTGAATCTGGTCTCCTTTATCGTCTGGACCACAAGGGTCTTCCGAGGTGACGTAGGGGCAAAGGAGGCATTGTTTGGTCAAGCCGCGCTTGCTCTGTTCGGGATTGGTGTGAACTACCATTTGTTTGAGGGGATGGTGTTGAGGGCTGATAAGGGCCGGATTTCGCCCTTTGTGACGGTGTTGTCCATTGGTGTCACCGTGGTTGTGTGGTTCCTCGGATCGCTTCTCGTTTATTATTGAGTGGTGTTCGTGTTCTGTGCTTTGATCCTATGTTTTTGAGGTTATTGTTGGATTATTCATTAAGTTACTATCACTGGAATAATGGTATGCTCATGCTTTTCTGGTCATGATTGAAACAAAATTATATATGCAATTGTTTGTAATTCAAATTCAAGGACTTCAACTTCATATATCAAATTCCTCCCAAGTAAAAAAAATAAAAAAATAAAAAAATAAAAATAGGTTACCAAATAAACCAAGTTACAAATGCCGTCCCTCGTCAACATGCCTTGGAGCAGATGATGGTTCACCATCATCCCGGGGAGGGCCCAATTTGC